CCAGATCTGAGCCCATTCTCATCAGATCGTCCCGGATCTGGAAAAGGACCCATCAATAGGTACTTTCCAAGGAAGCTAAATCCAGACGTTAGAAAGTCAAAATTAAGGTGGTCGTCTTGGTAAGGATTTGGTTTTACTTTGGTTAGCCCAAGCGACACTTCGATCTTGATTGTAGTGGTGAACATAACAGTGATGATGTTAACATTTTTTTAGCTTATTTATGAGATTGTTAACAGTCACATTTATGATGGTTGCCCGGACTGAATGACAATAAAAGAATGCATTGTGATGTACTTTTTCAGATGTTGTGAATGTATTTAGAGAAAAAAATTATATTTGCAATTGTATGTTCTTACGATTGTTTTTGTTTGGAAATTATTGTAATTGAACTGGTTGTTCTGTAATGCTTGAATGAACATGCGCTGATATATTGGAATAATCATGTTATTGGATTTTGTTCGAGATAATGTGTTGTGACTCGGGAGTTTTATCGTTTGTCTTTTAGATATAACTTATATCACATGCAATATGGCATATTATGCATTGTTAAACGAATTATTGCGCAAATCTTAATATAACCATTATTATATGCACAATGTCATTTGTTGATGAAAGTAAACATGCGACCACTATGGTTTACTTTATTTGATTTTTTTGTAATGTACATGTTGCTTTGAACTATTGTGCAAATAACAACAGAATAGTGTGCAAATTTGTTACTAAAACTTTAGTGATAACGTAATCGTTGTGTAAAAATGTTCATATATTTTACCGATTTTCAATGCTAGTTATACATTGAAGAAAAATAAAGTAAGAGACTATTATTTGAACAAAACTGATTCCATATAATGGTACTTTTGATAAATGAGTTGCCTTTATATCATCTGAAATATTTTGTCTTCAACTGAATAAACAATATATGGTAAAATGTAAGTAACACCAACCTATAAGAACAAGTTAAATCACAATTGTAAGTAGATATCCAAAATATCTCAACTAATGCTTGAACCTTTCATTGAATAATTTAATTTAGTGCTAGGCATAATATTAGGTTATAATTGGGGGGCTTTTATTGACATTTTATAAAATTTGTGCAATATTTTGAATATTAATGTGCTTTTTGTTTTACGTAACTGTGCACACATGAATTACAATTTAGATAGTTTTATGTAATTGTGCATACATGAATTACAATTTAGATAGTTTTATGATTTAGGTGTTCACGTTGTTTGGTTTTAACGTTTAAGGTTAACGTTAGAATTTGTGATTTAGTTTATAGTGTAGGATTTGAAGTTTAGTGTTTGGGACTAATATGCATAATCTAGTACATAATAGCGCGATTATTTGTAAGAAACTGTGCATTTCTAATGTAGAGCACCATTAGGTGTTCATGTGTTCAACTTCATATGGACTACACTTAGTCAAAAGTAAAAACACCAAGAAAATAACGTTTCCGGAACAATGCTAATCAATTTATTCAAAAATCTTTCTCGAAGAATATACCAAAAAATAAAAATAAAAAATGCAATAAGCACCAATACAAGAGATTTGTGCCTTCAATGATGCAACAACATGTGCACAATTATTTTCCTCACATGTGGATGTTTGAGTGTGACACCACATCCATCAAACACGAACTCGTCGTCAAACATTTCGAAGCCGAGCTGAGGACTCATACTCTCACCCCTCACCTTACGTTGTTCAAAACACAACATACATCCAAATCTGCAAGCGAACTTTGTAGCCCCGTCTCTATGTTGTAAACATCTAGAATGCAACAACTCTGCCCCTACAAGTTTAGAAAACGGTGGTGATATCGTCTTCAGAAGCAATTCTATCACCTAATGAATCCAATATCAAATGAGGAGGCCTTTGCATGAGAATGACTATACTCATGGAATATTAACGTGAAGCAATATGTGCAATGAGGAGATTAAGAATGTTTCGTACAGACACACTGGAATTGGAGGTGTGGGTATTAAACCAACCAGAAAAAGCGGTAGTGGAGTCATTATGCACAGTTGTGAAGCTCAAGGTTGGAAAGAATGACGAGGGGCAGGTTGTTATGGAGTTCGGAAGATCAACCAAGTTGTGTTACTCGGTCCCAATTCCACCGTGGTATGTTCGTTGTTCAAGATGTCGACCTGGAAGATTTAAAAAATTATTCGTCTCTATTTCTATATTACATAATTTATATGGAAAAAAAAATATTGTGATTTTAACAAGTAATGATCTGGATAAGCATCAAAATTTCTTTATATAAGACAAACATCATCTTTTCAATGAAGAAACTGAGAAAGCAAAAAAAAATATACAAAAAACTTAATTTACTTGTAGTTAAAAAAATGCACAATTATGTATTTATAAATGCACAGGTGAGCATTCAAGTTGCACATTATCCAAAACCATCAATTAAGACTAGATATATGGTAATATGATATAACTAGCTTTTCCCTATACCTAAAAATTGTGTACATTCAACTGGTTTGTAAAAAAAGTCAAGTCGGGATCCATAATTTGAAGATGAGTAGCCATAATGTGTGATGAAACTAGTTCTCAGGAGTAGTATACTTGTAGTATACTTCAGGTAGACATTACAGTTTCAGGCATATTTTCCATTAACACGATCAAAATCACAATAGCGCCTTAACAACATAATTATATCAGCTCAAAAAAAATATTAGCTATAACAACTCATATTTACTACAACAGAAATTATCACAGATTAAGACCCCGAAATCATATGACGATTCATTCAAAATTGAAAAACAAGTGCACCTAATCAAACAAGACATAATTTTTTTGTTTATGAAAACTATAAAATACTTTCTCAATTTTTGTTTACTAAGGTGCACTGTGAATTGATCCCAAAAATCACAAAATCTAAATAAAACCCTAGGCGACCGCATTACCCCCTTAGAAGAAGGAATTTCGCAATTAGCAGGCGGATCTCAAGCATTGGCAGGATCGGCAGTGTCGGCCTTTTGGTGCCCATCCTCGCCGCCGCCGCCGTCGGCTGGACCTTAACACCAAATGCGCCACGCCAACAGAAGCCCAAAGATCTGTCTAATTCACCGGGCCGGAGCCCGAGATAGAGCACGTGGCTCAACCTCGATGTGATCCTCGTCTTCGCCACCGTCTCCCTTATCTCGACCTTGAAGGCAATGTTGAAAGGCATATAATTGAAGTTTAATCTGGCGAACGATAGACGGAATCTGTACGTGAATGAAGATACTTCTGATCTAATGCCTGATATTCTTTGAATTGTAAATGTCTAAACTACCCTCATATTAATAATTTGATGGCAGCTTGGTGTTCGTCGGATCTTTCATATTTAGTGGATGAGATGCATTCTTATTTCTTTCACTAAGACT